AACCGGCTGTGCCGGCTGCCCGCGGCGCTGCCCCGCATGGCCGGCCTGCGGGGGCTCTGGCTCTACGGGAACCGCTTCCAGGAGTTCCCGCCCGTGCTGCTCCGCATGGATCACATCCGCGTCCTCGACATGGATCGCAACCGCATCGCCAGCTTCCCGGACCTCACCGGCCTCGCTTCCCTGCGCCTCCTGTCCTACGACCACAATCCCGTCCGGCAGCCGCCCTGTGTCGGGGATGAAGTGCAGCTGGTGGGGGACGGGGCGCAGGAATACATGGAAGCGCGGCAGGAGCGGCTGCAGAGCCTGCAGCACCAGGAGGAAGAGGAGGAGGAAGGCACCGAGGCCGCCCCGGTATCCCCTGAGGATGGGCCGGAGTATGGGGAAGGGGAATCTGTGGCCTTGACGGGATCTCCTGAGGAACTGTGAGCCTCTGTTCTCCTGAGGGGGTGCAGAGCCCCCACCTGCCTCCCAAGGAATTCCCATCTAGGGCTGGGAAAGGAGGAAATTCACAGCCTCCAGGCTGTGGAAAGGAAAACCAATGGTCTGAGGAGCAGCCTTATGCAGTTGGGACAGCAGCTTCGTGTCCTGGATCTGCAGGATCATGGATCCCAATGGTTATCCCATCTGAGAGCATCCCACCTACTCCAGGGTGCCTTGGATTGGGATACAACCCCCTGCCCTGAGGGGTGATCCCACACTGCCCCCCCGTGAGAATGGGGACATTGCCACTCCTCCACCTCTGAAAATCCTTTACTTCTGTCCCAATGGGCAGCACAGGAAAAAGCAATGCTGGTTGCATCCATTCCATGGATCCTGTCATCCTGAAGAGCTCCAAGGTTTGGGAACAAAGGCACAGACCCTGAGAACCCAATCCTGCTGCTGAAATTGGGCTGGGGGAGAGAATTTTCCACCAGGCTCCTCTTGGCCATCAGATTTGGGAAGGAGCTGGTGGAAATTAGACCTGGGTCTAAGCACTGCCTGTCTCCAACCTGGACAGGATTTTGCCCCTGTGGGAAGAGGAGTCTCATCCCTGGCCCTGTCTGTCCCCAAATGGGCACCAGATCCAGGGCTGACACCTTATCCTTCCTCTTCCTCTCTCCAAGTGCCTCTTGGACCAAATGCAAGCAATAAAAAGCACAAATCCAAGGAATTTGTTGTGAGAGAACAGTGGCAGGGACCAGCCTCAGGGAAGGGGTTATTTGGGATCCCCTAAAACCGAGTAACATATTCTGGTGTGCGACCACCAGCTCCTCTTATTTTGGACATCCAAGGAGTCCTGATTCCCTCTGCCCATCTCCTAGCTGAGCCGGTGTGGTGGGAAGCTTGGGGATCTGAGGTCTGGAGCTCACTGGAGGTTTCAAACCATGCATCCGCTTTTAATGGCCATGGATTTGGGTTTGGGGCTGGGAGGCAGCCAGAGCTCCTGCCACATCCGCTCCAGCACTGGCAGGGCAGATGCTGCCCACTTTTCCCTCCACTTCCTATTCCACAGCAGGAACCACGGCTATTTTGGACACGTGGAGCTTCCTCAGCTGCGGGATGTGCAGGAGCTGTCGGTGCCAGCTCCTCCAGGGTAATTTCAAGGATTTGGGGCTTAGCAGGAGCTTGGAATCAAGTCTTCCCAATAGGTACAGGCTGTCAATCCCTTTTCCCACCCAGGTGTCCTTCACTGTAGGGCAGAGCATCCCAGGATCCTGTGACATCCCAGGCACGCACTCCTGGAATTTTGTCTCCTAGCCTTTCATGCCATCAATCCAGGGTGCTGCTGCTTTATCTGGGAAGACACTGCTGCTAATTAGCCAGGAATTAACCATGATCCTGAGGGTTCTGATCCTGGCATAGACCCTCAGCATTCCAAACCCCTGCTGCAGGCAAGATCTGATGCCACCAGCTCCATGCAGATCCCTGCCAGCCTACCCATTCGGCAGGAACTGGGATGCAGGTGGCTCCGGATGCCACCAGCCTGTCCCCATGGCCGGGATCAGATCCAGGAGCTCTGACATCTGGGAAAGGGGGGTCCTCCCTCTCTGCAGCCTTTTCCCACCACCCAGCTATTCCCAAGGAGCTGGGTTGGGACCCAGGCACCGGTGACGGTGCTGGTGACACCAGGACCAGGAGCTGCCGCAGTCAGTGGGAATCTGACAGATTCCGGCTCCGCTCAAGTATTTTGGGGCCGCTGGCACCGGCGAGTCCCCGCTCCCGGCAGTGCATCATCCATACGTCTGTCCCTATATATATCCCTGCCTCCTCTCCCGGCCCCGCGTGCGACGGTTTGTGGCCTCGCCGCAGCTGGGATCACGCTGCTATTTCCATCTGCTCCCACTGCCTGCCAGCACAAAGCAACGGGATTGGGAATAGCTGCGGATCCGTGCAACAGGAGCGCTGGGATCGCTGCGCTTTCAAAGATTTGGGAGGATAAAAGGAGCCCGGTGTTGGTGTAAGAGCCCAGGCAGAGCCAGGATCGGTGGCACTGATGACATTGGCAGCTTAGGAATGCCAAAATTCCCAGGTTTGGATCAGCTGGAGCTGGAGTGAGGGTAGGCAGCAGCCACCTCTCCTCCACTGGGGTGCAGATGGCAAGGGGACAGCGTTGTCCCCTGCTGCCACCTGCAATACTGCATCCCAGGGCTTGAAGGGAGGGTCCAGAGGGATCTTATCCTGTGCAGGGAGGACATGGATGGCCCTGCTGCCATCCCTGCGTTTGGAGTTTCATTTATTTATTCAAGACCAGCATTCCGTGAATTATTTAACAGCCACCAGAGCCATTGCAATGGCACCAGGACACAGGATATGGTTCCCTGCCCCTTCCTTTCTTTTGGAGCCACATTCCAGTCCCTATCCAGCACATCCCATGGCGAGGAAGTCAGCCCGGAGCTGGATGGGATAGGAACTCACCTGGCTCCAAGCAGGCTGCGGGGGGCACTGTTGTCCCTGAAGCATCCATGGGGATCCAAATCCCAGCAGGATCACAGAGTTTTGAGGGGATACTTGGTGATGGATGGGATAATAGTGGGTGGATACTCAGGGTTGGGAGGAATAACGCTGGGAGGGGGATGCCCACCCGGCTGTGGTGCCCACCCAGGTGTGGTGCCCCCATTCCCACCCCAGGATCCACCCTCTGCATTCCCCCAATCCCACAGATGACTCACGCTGGCAGTTACTGACTGTCCTTTATTACTGAGAGCAGGGGCTGCCTCCAGAAAACGAGGGGCCCCGCTCCCCAAAAATAGGATTCTTCAAAGGAGACGCCCCGACCCACGTGCCCCATCCTTGGCATCGCCAGCCGGGCACCCCCCACTCCAGCCGCTCCCCAGCCGGGCTGGGCCGGGCTCTTTAGTGGATTTTTTTATCTTTTTTTGTCTTTTTTTGTCTTTTTTTTTTTTTTTTTTTTTTTTTTTTTTTTTTTTTTTTTTTTTTTTTTTTTTTTCCTGTTTTTCTGTATTTTACACACCAGTTGGATGTTACCGTCACATGAAGAAGAGAGAACCTGAACAAGATCACGGCTACGAGCTCTAGAGTTAAAAATGAACACACAAACCCCCGGGGAGCCCGACCGCGGACGAGGAATCCAGCCTGGAAAAGCAGGGTGCCCAAAGGGCCATGGGGGGCACCCAGCTTGGCACAGCCCTGACCCTGCCACCCTTTCCCCAGGCATGTAAGTCTCTTCTTTTATGTTAAAAAAAGAGAGAATATGACAAAAATACAAATGTCCCTAAAAGCGTTGTTATTACTGTAATAGCAGTATTATGACTTCTCTCCAGATTGTCCAAAATCGTCTAAATTGGGGCTGTGGGAGCTGCTGGGAGCCAAGGGTGCCACGGGGGGAGCAGGAAGACTGAGGATGATCTGGCGTCTGCCCGGAGAGCCACCACCGACCCCGTTGTCACCCCTGTGGGGCTCCCAGGTGGGTCTATCCCTGTTTTTGGGGGTCCCAGGGAGCGGGGAAGGGCTCTGGCATGTGCATCCCAGGGCTCCGTGGGGATGCTGCTGCTGGCACTGATCCTGCCAGGCTGGCCGTCCCAAGGAATGCCACCAGCCCAGGGAATGTCACCTGCCCTCGATAGGGACAACAGCGCTCGCTCTACCCTTTATCCCCAGGGGTGGGCACGGGGCTCCCGGAGCAGCCCCGGCTGGAAGGGGACCCTGTGGAGCTCCGCATTCCCCCGAGGGGCCCCTTCCAGCCCGGGGTGGGGGCCCGCCTTAGGGCCCCCCCGCTCCCGCCGAGACCCAAGACGGAGGTAAAGCATCGAACCCGGCTGAAGGCAGTGCACGGAGGAGCCCGCTTTGGATAAGGAACTGTGTCATGGCTTCCGATCCCAGGAAAAGGGGCCGTCCCCTCCCCTCGGTGTCCCCCGC